ACCATTTGCTTTCAAGTGCCAATAAAACAGTATAAAAATACTTCATTAGACACTGAAATCCTGTGTGTTGCTGTTTTCGTCATCTTTGCTGTAACGCTCATGTGCAAATGTAAACATAAAACATAACATCACTTCATTGTTCATGTATAAAAACACCAACGCTGTGCCTGCGTGTAATCCCTTGCTGACTGTGAGATCTCTCATGTATGGGCATATTAAGCACCTCAGGGCCCCAGGGGCAAATATTTCTCACTGGCCCCATGTGACCCGCATAACACGTATCAGTTTCAACATGTCCCCGGAGAAATTCTTCATAAATGCATCTCAGAAGTGAATATCTGTTAGTGTTCCCTGTTGTAATGCAACGTCTCCTCATTTGCTGAGACCTCAGAGGACAATGACGGACAGTTTTCATTATTTACTGACGTTTAACAATCAATAAATGATTAATGATGATGAAAATAATTGGTTGCAAGCCTTTACATGTCTGCTGGGATGAATTCATGCCACCTTAGCTGAGCTTTTCTGTCTATTAATTATGGACACGCAGAAGAAGAAAACTGATAAACTTTCCAACAAATACACTCAATGCCTGATTTGTCCGTTTGGTGATGTAGCCTTGTTTTGGTTTTAAGTCAATAGTTGCAGCTGCCAATTAAAAATATTATATTAAAAAGTAAATTTCCCTATTAAAAATACCGGTGGTGAACTACAAAGTAGCAGAAAATGGATGTATTCAGGTAAAGTAGAAGTATATTGACCACTGATGTAAAGCATCATGAATTACCTCATTAAATTCTATCCATTGTTTTTTAACATTGGGGGATTTTTTTGATTGTCTCGACACACAGAGTTAAAGAGGCTGCCGATGCTGCTTGTCATCCTGCTCTTCCTCTCGGTCTCAGTGAAGCTGACAGACATTTTGAGGGTCATGTTATTGGACACGTCCATCACCGTGTGGCAGATGGTTTGTGGTGTCATGAAGTGGTGGAGTACCAGGGTGTGCCAGCATCCCTACAGCCCATTTTTATCTTTCTCTTGTCGTTTGTGGCAGCGCGATATTTTGATAAAGTTGCATTATAAGGTGGCCTTTTTATCGTAACTGGTCAATTAGTGGGCTGCAAGGTGACTTGGTGGTTAGCACTGTTGCCTCGCAGGAAGAAGGTCACTGGTTTGCATCCCGGTGAGGACACCCGGGATCTTTCTGTGTGGATTTTGCAGCGTGGGTTATCTCCAGGTTCTCTGGCTTCCTCCAACATGTTGAGGTTAATTGGTGATTCTAAATTGTCCGTAGGTGTGAATGTGAGTGTGCTTGGTTGTCTGTCTCTAAGTGTAGCCCT